CCCGGTAATACGAGCCTGTACAGCCTGCACAACGCCCGTATGATCGCTGCCACGAGAAATAAGGCACATAAGGGCCAGATTTTCAGCAGGCCAATAGAGCCACCTCTGGGGTTTCCACCGGACAGATGTAACCCCACTGGGTACAGTGCAGGTTGCGTGGTTTGGTGGCTTTGCTGGAGGCAGGGATGGGATTTTGAATGCGGCGTAAATTACTTAGTGAAGAGGAATAAGTCAGCCGGTTGAGTGTTTGAGCCACGCCTGTCTTGATGTTACCAGACTTCATATCTCCAAAGTTACCCGTTGCCAAGCAACGGCGCAATCCATCCGTGATGAGGCGACTGTGCAGAATTCTGCCAAAGCTGACAACACCACCGCGGTTGGTAGAGTAATCATGCACTGTTTTTGCCATCTCCTTCCGCACCTGAACAAGAAATTGGTTCAATTGAAATGTAAGCAGTGCCCCGGCAACATCAATACGTTTATGGCCCAAAAAGTCACGGTCCGTGTCCTCCCTTCTTCCCAGCGCGAGTAACAAAAGACGATGAACCATGTATCCAATGAAGAGACATTTGCTCCGATCGGCGGCGCAATCCACACCCATATGCGGAAGCAGATCCCGCATCAACAACCCCTGCGCGTCACGCTGCAAGTTTTCTCTACTGTCTTGTTTACCAAGGCGCTTGCCAATGAACCACAGCGCCTCATCCCTTGTAAATATCTGCAATGTGCTTGCATCTTCCATGGAGCCTCGGAGCATTTCAAGCATGGCGGCATCTTTTAAATCAGGAACCACAGTTTGGAGAATTTCCTTATCCGACCCCATGTCAAGAGCACGGAACAAAACAAAAAGAGGAATGAGTTCATCCATCTGTGCGACACGACAAAGGAGATTCTCGTAGCCGTGACCTGGTCCCTTCTTCTTGTACGGCATTAAAATCTGCAGCGTACGTGGTTTATTCAATGAACCTTCCACAATAGATTTAATTTCACACAAGAGCCCCTTTTGCCGTGAGAAGGCATAGACGTGATTGGCAGCTTGACGCTCCTGTGCAATGAGGACCTTCTCTGTTCCACTTATGACAAAGTAGCCGCCCTGATCATGTGGGCACTCGTTTAGACGTGGCAACTCGTCTTCGTCCTTGTTTTGCAGATTGCACCGCATGGATTTCAACATGATGGGGATGCGGCCAAGTTCCATGTTTTGCAAAAAAGTGCGGTACGGCTGCTCCTCCCGTGAACGGTAAACACGAATGCCAAGCGTGACTTGTGCGTTGGCGTCATAGGTTAGATCGCGTAGCCGGCACTCGTTGGGAAAGAGAGGATGCATCTCGCGTCGACTGAAGCCGGAGACTTCGTGCGACGGGTTGCCAATGACAACGTCCTCGAGACTGAGTCGGTATTGGTCGGGCTCCGTCTCCGTTTGGGTGCCGGGCTCAAACTGTTCGTCCTGCCGCGGCACAATTTCTAGCAGGCTGCGTGCCATGCGGGGAATACGCAGGAGAAAGTCATTGTACGAGTCAATCTGCTGGGCACAAGCCC